GGGGGGAGGGGGAGGCTTTGAGTAAGCATTAAAACAGCCCATAGGAGAGCACATCTGCTAGAGCGCAGTAATAGCGTTCTGTCCAATTCAGTTTTGTCTAGGATTGTTGGTTTACATTGACTGAATGTCATTAGAGTCTTATACTTGAAGCAACTTATCTATGAGCTTGTCGATATTTTGTCTTTCAGTGTTTTCCTCAAGTAAAAGTTTAATGTATTGGACATCTATATCGGGGAACATGTCAGTGAGTTCTGTAAATAATGTTTGTTGATTGCTGCTGCTATTATTATATCCAAATGAGTTGGGCGGAGTGTAGGAGTATTGCCGTGGCATGCTATATACAGAAGCAAAACTGCTTGACATTTGTTGGTGATCTTGCTGGCGATGACCAAGTTGTGGTAGYTGCTGTTGCTGTTGATGATTTTCTTGCAGATGTTGCATGTGTAGATCATACAAATATTCTTGCGGTGATAGATGGTGATGGTCTTGCTGGAGAGACGGTTGTTGTTGTGCATGTTGTTGTCTTTGATATCCTTGACGAGCTTCCCTGTTCTCTCTATTGTCCTGTACTCTGTCTGGATGATCATAACGACATTTGGAACCAAATGTGCAATTCCCACTTGCAAACCATGGACATATTCTACGATGCATTCCGTTTGTTCTTCTTTTCAAGAATTCATTCAAGCTGGGACCCTTCCTTCCAAGAGGATCTTCGGGCACCATGAATAGATCGCGAACAAAAGAAAACATTAAGACTCTTTTCTCTATGATATGCTTCCAAACCGCGTTCTCGCGCTTTAAATCGCGGTATTCATCATTGGATACAATAACTCCTTCCAGTTCGTGAGCTGATTCCAGAATAAAGCGATCGTCGTAACAAACAATATCCCTACCGTTATCGTTACGCCGCGATGGTGTAAACTTGACCACGCCCGTTTTTTCTAATTCGATTAGAAGGTGCTGATCTTGTATAGGGTAGCCTTGTCGTGGCGCCTCAGCACGGTAACGTGGTACAAGAACATACACCTCCGTGCAGCCACGTTTTTTAAACCAATCCACACACAGACAAATGCCACGGCAGGAAAAGACTTTGTGATTGCCATGATGCATTGCAACATTGCTTCCATCAATGATGATAGGACACACATCTTGATTACTGCAATGTCCGTCCGGTTGCACGTTTTCAAATCTTCGTCTTTGCCGCTCAATTGTCCTTTCACTTTCGTATGGCATAGAACGAGCTGATATTCCACGTGGAACAACATCTGTCCTTCGTTTATCAGAAACTGTCTTACTAAGAGTGGTAGCAGTAGTAGTTTTAGGTCGAGCACGATAAATAAGTTCTTGTAGAAACGTGTTGGTATCTACAGGTCCCGGTGCTAGAGTCTCGGCTACAACTTCGATGTCGGTCTCACTGTATCCTAGTTTCGTAGCAAACTTTTTACATGTTTGTATGCTTGAGGCAGCTTCGGTGGTAGCATTAGTTCTTGATGATGGCTTAGCCTCGTCTTCTCCCTCTATCCATGATTTAGCTAGCGCGACGTTGAATTGACTACCTCGTAGTTTTATGTTGTTCCTGTCGGCATTAGCTACGACACCATASGTCTTAGAAATAGTGTCAAGATTTTGTRTCACTCGAGTATCATTTGGAATAGCTTCAATAGTGATTGCTGGGCAGCACAGTGCTTCAATGTATTCTTTGGCTTTTTGCAAGTCCTCTCTTCTATCTTGCCGGGAGCAAATTTTTACCCATTGTTTGCCGTTTACAACCTCGCGCTGTACTGAAAATTGTACATTAAATAACGTACTGATATAATTGGAACTCCTGAGTAGAATATCGATTTTATCAGAGGGAACGACGAACTCCATTACCTTCAAGCTTAAGAGCGAGATTACTGTGAAATCATTCTCAAAGTGCACAGGAAGTTAAATGCTTGATCACATTTATAACAAAAAATACCATCTGATTCAAAACATGCAGTTTCGGACTGAAAAGGCTGAAGCGGAAGTTTCTGAAAGGGGTTTCCCCTTGGTTTGATGATGTGATTGGTTGAAAGTTTGGCAAGCTCAGTTTAGAAAATGGAAATACCTTGATTTTTTCCACTTGACATCATCATTATATAAGCAACAACAAAGTCAAGCTGYTACATGTACAAGCGAGTGGATTTGTCGAACGAGGAAACAGTTTTTCTCGCAAATGAAATAAAATGTTTGGAAAGTGACAAAGCACATTTACAACTAAGAGAAACTGAAAGGCACATGAAGTGTGACTATATCGTGCAGTATATTAAAACCCTGTTGATCGATTTGTTAACTTTAGCAAACTTTCGATCTTTGTATACATTTATCAAGAACCATTTGACCTTTCGTGGCTTCATAGAGGAAACAAAAAATTCTGATAATTACGGAAAGTGAAACTGTTTGTTGTTAAAGTTTCGTGCGAAGGGAAAACGGAAAGGTTTCTCACTGTGATCCTAGGGGTTATATTTCTAAATGGGATTTATTTTATTACTTTTCATATTTATCTGTTAAGCAGTTACTTCCTTGAATGCATCGGCTGCATCTATCGGCTAACATTACTGGGAATTAAAAAAGGGGAAAATGAAATAGACTTTTTTTTTTACTAGAACCGCAGGATGTGTTTRAGGCAGCGGGGGATTTTATTGTGTTAATGTGCCTTAAGTGATTACATRCTCATAACCCTATTCCGTGATTATTGATTCTGTGCTGGTGTGGGTTGGATATGGTGTCATTTGCCCTAAATTAGAAACTCTCTATACCATGAGTAATTATTTCTTTTTAAGGCACTTTTGGTCAAATGTCTTTTAAAAATTATCTAGATGGCTTTAATCACAATAAAACTTTAATATACTTTCCTATAAGCAACGAGATATGATAAAAATATAGTTACCATCTTAATGGTTTTCTCAGACAAGATTTGATGCATCCCTCATCAATCTCATCACACTGCGTCACTGATTGATTGTGTAGTTCCGGTGTGGTTAGCAGCTCGTCACACAGTTCAAGTCGTAAACCTTCAAACAATCTCTTGTTTGTTGTGTATATAAAAGCGCTTTTGTTTGTTCTTCTTTAATTGAAGTCCTGACAAATCCTACTTGATGACACCTTTAGTGATTTCGTATTTAGTGGAAATTCAAGAGGCTTTTTTTGTGTAATTTCAACACTGCCTGACAAATGTCATAACTGAAATCAAAAGTTACGGCTCAGTTGAAGTCTTTCGTTTCAATATTGGCGATGAGTATTGCCCACCTACTAGTCACAGCCGACAAGCCCTTAGGGTGAAGGTGCTTTGTTTGTATTTACTACTCAATCATTGTTGCTGTCATCTTGTGCTTCTCAAGTTCTATTCATGTTAACCGTCTGGATCCAGATACTACAAAGCCTGTTGACAGAGAAACGCCATGCCGTCAAGCTAGTCAAGACACGAGTTCTTAGCGTTGTAGTCAACGTTAATGGAATCATTGATCAAAATGGAACGAACGATCAGCCTAAGTGAAATCAATGAGCATATAACTTGTCGATTGTGCGATGGATACCTGATTGATGCCACTACTATTGTCGAATGTCTTCATACATGTAAGTAATGACCGTGTTTCGCTGATATCAATCTAAACTCTAGGTTCTACCGTTTGGTCGTTTTATTCATGAAGTTATATCTGTAAATTGAGTGRATATGAAGGATTCAATCAGCCACATCGTTAAACTTTTAGTACCGATATTTACATAAGGATTCGTGTCGAACAAAGCCTTCGTGCATGACCTTCAGTAACTCTGTTAGCTCGTGTTAGTACAGCTAAACTACTTTAGTATTGTGTGAATAGTAAATAAAATATCTACTTACACGAGTGCCTCTATCGTTGTTAACAGTCTGTCGTAGCTGTATCGTAAAACATTTAAGACAATGTAACTACTGCCCAACATGTAAAATAACTCTACACCAAAGCCACCCTATGAACTACATAAGGTATGTTATGTTATTTACATCTTTTAATGATTGATAATTGAAACTTAATTAAATTATATGTTAGTAGTTGAATTATTGTTGATCATAACACATTATTATTTTTCTTAGCACTGATCGTACCTTGCAAGATATCGTGTATAGATTGGTACCTGGTCTACAGGAACGTAAGTGACACATGTCTTCTATCTTTGTCATGCAATGAATGATGGCTGATTTACAAACTTTGCTTTACTGCAGGTGAAAAACAACGGCAAAAAGAGTTTGAAGTGGCAATGTTTATGTATCGTACTGGTGAACAACAAAGTTTATATAATAACAAACAAAATATGAGTTCTCATCAAGCACAAGGTACACAAGCTAAAAATCCTAAAAAGAGTAAAAGGCATAAATAGTATTTGCGCATAAGCGTACACTTAAAAAAGATTATTTATTATATATTTATCGTAGAACCTGAACCCACAAATACTGACTATCATCGTGGTGACGAGCAAACTGCGATATGTATGGAATGTTACAGGTATGTTGAAGAGTGAGTCACATACCACAACCTTTCACTCAAACCGGTCGCTTTTCTTTTGTAGGTCTTCAAACGGCAATTATATGCTAAAGGTAACGTGAATCAATCAGGCTTTGTGATGATATTTAATAACTGATAAAGACTGCGTGGGTTTCATTTAACCTTGGCAACACTCAATGCTTTGGAAAAAAATTCAAAAGTTAGAGTATAGCCATTTTATTGTCCATTATAGGCCTTCCACGCGCCATGCACTTCACTCAGTATAAAATGATGGCCATTTATTTTCGATGAAAGGTGATGTCCCCTCCTTTTTCCACACCCTTTTTCAGCCCCCTGTCCACCCCTGCCTTGCCCCAAGTGTGTCTGATGACGTAAAGGTTGATAAGCTTGAATACCCTGGAACATGTTTAACGTTTCAAGTATATAAGCAGGAAGCAAGTAACTGTTTTAAACTCGTTTTCGTTGCAGCCACTTGATCGTAAATTTCTACGACTTTCGTCACAAGCCACAGTTCAACATCTCAAAAAGTTTGTCGCTAAGAAATTATCCTTGGAGAATCATTCTGATGTGAGCTCATTAGTTTTGCAGTTTTATGCCGTGGTAATTCAGTCATTGACAATTATATATATATGTATTTTATTTGTAGGTAGATATTTTATGTAATGATGAGATATTAGGTAAAGATCACACTATCAAGTTCATTATGGTAACACGATGGAGATGTAAGGTGAGTTGAACGACACTGTGCAGGTTTATACATAAACTAATTCAGTCTTGTATTTTGCTACTCGAGAATATTCACTTACATTTTAATCATATCAGTTCAAGTCGTTCCCAACGCATTTCAGTCTCGCGCAGAAAATGTTACCCTTTCTCAGAATAACGTTATCTTATTTATCTTTGTACTCACCTTTGACTATAATCGGTGCTGTGTTATGGAGCCCTTAACACACTTCCAGGAGYACTGTTCCTTGCTCTTATGGTGTGGTTCCTATTACGTCATTCCAGTGCTTGTGAAAAGAGAAAAGGGACCACGACCTTTACCGGCTCTTCCAAAGTGATGCYATTATGGGCACAACGTATTCGCGCGGTCTGGGAAGGGACCGAGGGCTGTGGACCCGACGCCCAATAATTTTAATCCTGACAATACCGCCGCATCTCAAAATTGCACAATTTTGTTGAAAGTCCACTTTTTAAGGACATCACTCTTGTTGACGTTCCCGCCAAAAGTCCTAAGCGTCAAATAGAAATAACTCTGTGGCTTTTGGTATCATTAGTTCTGCTTTATCTACAGGCATCGCCATTACTACTACACTACAGACCAAGCTTGAAGCTCTATTAAACGCCTTTGCTTAAAGCTACAGCCATTAATACTTCATGATCGGTTCATTCAATAAAGTATTCATAAGTCTGTTCGCGAAACAAAGAACAACAAGATGACTTAAATAACGTTTATTAGAGTAACAAACACTTGAGRGTAAAACGAATCAGTGAATTACTACCCAAGCCTTTTAGACGTCGTTTTCATCAGGAAGTCAAGTAGATAAAAAAATCCCTGGACCAAATATCAGCTCTTCAACAAGTGTGGGCTACGTTGGTACATCAACACCAACCAACAGAGCAAAGATTGYGATTTTATGCAGCCCAAAATAATATGGAAGTCTGGAAGGTGTTACTAACAAAAGCAGGTGGAAAAATGAACAAACTCTCGCTGTTGCCAGAATCTTTTTCTGGGAATGCCCCAGGTTTAACTGAAATATCAATGAATCATTTCTTTTTTTACAATTTATAACTTCTTTTCCACTCCATTCCGACCAAGCTATGTCCTATTTAAACAAGCGTTTTAATGCATTCATCTGATCACGTGGTTTTATTGGCCTATGATATCATAGTGCAGGACAATGGGTGGMGCCTATAGAAAAAAGACATTTATTAAACAAACAAATAATTTATTGTTTTTGTTAATAAAAGAAACACTTGCTTATCTATTGTGTATTTTCTTACCCTGTCAAKCCATTCTGAAATCCAAATAAACTTCATTGTCCGACATGGATGGATTATGTGATCGTTACAAAATATTTCAACCTACAGTATTCAAATGAAATATTGTTTAGTATATTACAGTAGTGTAACATTTTTACATTGTTTAGGTGGCTTTTGAACTTAAAAGCCAAAGCCAATGAGAAATATTTGATTAACCATCATTATGGATAGCACATTTATTGCATCTTACATACTAACTCCAAGCTCGGAGAGACAAGATGACATCATGCAACAGGAAGCCCAATGGAGGTAGGTGATATAAATTGCAAGCAAAGTGATTTAAAACTAACCTGCTGTTCGGGTGGGATTTTTAGCCTGGTTCTGAGGTATTTTTGTAGGTGAAAGACCATTGTTCTCACAGAACAACGAATGTGTTTCTTGCTGAGTGACTACACACACAACAAAACAAAACTTGGAATTAAACAATAAAGATAACAATCAAACAAGCACACATGAATTCCTATGTACCTTAGAATGTTTTGAAGGTGTTTCACTATGCTTATCATCTTCAACGTCACTTGCTTCAGCTTCTTCATTATCTGAAAACCTGCACCAAGAAAGACATGTAACATATGAAAAAAGCTTTTAATCCTGACTTTGCTAAGCAACCAGTTAGAAGTGACAACATGCTATGAGCAAAGACTGCATTCAATTCAACCCTAACCAGCAGTAATACCAAAGTTCTTAATTTGATGGGTCTATTTCTATTATGGTAGTTGTGACTTGCCTGGACTGATTGGGTAAAAACATAAACAATTTTGACTGTTTATTTCCTTACCCCAGTCTCTCCAAACATAGTGAAACTAGTTCATCATCTCTGTAGCTGTTCTTACATTCTGAAAAATCACGCTTTTGAGTGAAATTTGCTGACTGTGTCTTTTGTAAGTCAGGATCTATAGAAAAGATATTGTTTCTGTCATTGAAAATATTATTTAATTGAATAAATGAGGTGTTTATTTTAGTAGAAAATGCCAAAAGTTGCAAAGTAAATATGGAACATGTGATTATCATTGCTTGGCTTTAATGTCAGTGTCACTTTTGCTGATACATGACGTCAATGTCACTGATAAGTGATCTGTCATGATAAAACAAATATCCCATGAATATAACAGTTATGAAATGATAACCACTGCTTGCGCCTTCCTAACCTTTACATGTAATGTGTGCCTTTGTGTCTGGTAGTCCTCTGGATGCATAGAATTGCTTTCTTCTTCTTTCTTCATCTACAAMACCAATTATATGTAAGAGAACATTTTTGGACAAGCATCATATAAACCATAGCAGAAAGCACTAGCTGCACTTATTCTTACTTTACTGGACAATTTTACAAGAGAAAATAGGTGTTAGATTGCTGGTAGTTATAATACAAACAATGACAATAGCCTAATAATAATAATTATCATTCAATAATGTATATAATTGTATACAATTACCTCTAAATAGATTGGGAATGACTTTCAGTACTATTTCTTGCATGGTCCTGTCAAGCCTACAACAAATAAATGTCATTGGATCATAATTGACATCCTTTCACCATCCCGCACAGAGAGTGGTAACACATTGCAACACAACATGTTATATAAGCGCTTCTCTGTCGTTATTGGGCAGATTCTGCATTTCTTCAATGTGGAAAGCTTATGCAGGACGCCTCATATCAGCCAAAGGTCATTGCATGATTTGAGGATGGCCTGTGTAAGAATACTTACTGGAGGTTGACAAGCGGTTGTGTTTCATGAATTTTAAGATTGCAGGTCGGACAGTATTTACTGGTTTGAAGATATTTGACAATGCAGCTCCTACAAACTGAAACAAGCCACACAAACATGAATATATTGATAATGTGTTTTATAAAGTGACAGGGATCTACGAGCGGAAAGTATGCTACATACATGTATGGAGACATTCCGTTATTGTGGTCGCGTCTATGAAATASCCGGCACACAAGCTGCACACAACATGAGGGTTGAGGTCGCGAACCTTGATGGTCAAAACCTTGAAAAAATATACACATTRATATTGCTTTTGAAGAAAAACAAACATTCAAGCACTCCATATTCATAAAACTGACCTCCTCTGAGTCCATGATCAGACATACACCTAAAGTGTAGCTTTATGTTTCAGCTGTTTCCAACGTTTTCGTCCGCCATTTTAAGGTTCTAAACAACACAGGGAACCCAAGGAATTCAAACAACTGACCAGTTCGACTGACTGCTCGTGTTACTTTCACATCCAGAAATACTGGGAATTCAGTGTAATTTGGAGAGGGAAAACTTATTTCCTTGCTTGAATGATGTAAAGTATTACTAATAGACAAGAAAAATATTTAGCAAGGATTTATAAAAGTTTTCGAGATCTCAGTTCTTAGAAAGAAGCCATCAAAATGTCAATCAAACAAATGACGAGACAAGATAAAAATACTTGAATTTCCAACGACGAAAGGCACATGACTATCAGATGGATCATGTTACAAGAGTTTATAATRGTCTGAGCTTCGGGAAAGAACCAAAGTGCAATCTTGGCTTTGCTTGGATGATTTGACACACCAGTGGATTGTTCTAGAATCACAAGGTTTCTGTCAAGACAAATCAGAATAACTTTTTTTGTTCCGTCTCAGCGACCATAATGCATAAAGTTCCTTACATATTCCGCTTAGCAAGCATTTCATCTTTAATAAGCAAACATGGATTTGCTATATTCCGAACTCTCTTTTCGTAAATATTTTAACTTCTTTGACAAGTATAAGATCGCGGTTGCTACAGACATTATGCAACAGGAACCATTTGATGTCAGAATCGCAGGACTTGAGAACACTCTGCAGAAAGACTCCAACAAGACCCAGGTCCAATGTTGTCTGTACGAATTGGCAGATTTACTAGATAAGGCAGATTCRGAGCAACTAAAAGCTATTGATGATGACATTCAAGACGTGATTTTAACAAATATGAATCGTTACTTRACAGATGTAGAAATTCAGAGAGATGGYATATTTGGTCTTTACAGCCTTATGAAAGATAACCAACAGATCCAAAACAAACTYAAGAAATCAAGATTTCATTATTGTATCGTYCAACGCATGTTCTCCCATCCTAATGATGTAATAATACAAGCAATTGGATGCAGGATTATTAGTATTCTTGTAGCTAATAATGACACYGTCAAGAAGGAGATAATTGCAGTAAATGCTGTTGATGTTATCATTAATGCTATTGATACCTTTGATAATGAAGATGATTTACAACTGTGGGCCATGCAAGCATTGACACATGYATTGCAATCAAATACAGAAGAACAAGATAAGTTTTTGCAACAAGAGTATTACCTACTGGTTCTTGAAAGGATCGAAAAACTTAAGGAGTACAGTAAGTTGATATAAGTAGCATGATGTATTCTGTCATATTTTTTGAATATTATCTTTATTATTTAGAGTGATTCTGGATTTAATGAAAATAGGAATGCTGTTTTTGGTATAATTATTTGACATAAATGGTTGTCAGGAGGAAGCACTCCAAAGAAATCAGCTTACTGTAGTRATAGGATAATATCTATGAAAAAATCACATGATGACAGTGGGATGTACCAGCCTATATGCTAGAAATGTATTGTTCTTCAAGAACAGCTTTGAATAAATATGGTCACTTACTTTTATCTAACATTATCAATACTTTTTGTAGGTATATTGATTGAACAAGTGTTCAAACTCTTTACAGTGCTCACAGAATCTTCATGCTTCATGCAGTACTTWCGTGAAAGTGAGCTGGCTGTTGTCTTTCAATTTATGGAGTACCATGAAGAATGCAGAGATGTTCAGTTTGCTGGTATTTCCTTCTTAATTGAGTTAGCAAAAAATATGGAATCACATAAGYGTCTAGTAATGAGCAACATCGATGTCATAATGTTCAGAGTCCAGGCAAAGTTTCCAAATTGTGCAATAAKCCAAAGAAAATGCATTGAACTGTTCAATTTATTGTGCGAATCCCTACTCGACACTKCAGAAAATAGTAAGTTTCTAACAATATAATTTGTACTCCACAAAGTCACATGAATTAAGGTCCTCTAGGACATTATACAATGTAGATGCATATACGTCTTTGACATAAAAATGTGTCAGTAGACCTCTACAAAAACCTGTCACGTCAGGCCTATAAAGACCAYCAGGTCTGTGATGGAACTAGGATACATAACTTAGTTATTTGCCCTGACCATTCTTACTCCAGTTTCATTAATATACTCTCTAGATAAAGAAAATAACCATCCATTTACACACGTTCTTTAGGGGAGTGCAGAGCGTTACAGTGTCTGAATGGTATCATGATTGCCATGGCAACGCACTGGGATGACATGTTGCTGTTGATCATGGCATGTGAAAGTGTGTCTGTTTTGTGCACCCATCATCCTGATTTGCTGCTGTTAATTGATGACGAGCATGATGAGCATGTTCCACTACATAACACAATCATGGCTTCTTTAGCTTTGCATATTGATGATGAAAAAATGTGTGAGTCTGCTCTCATGGCTATTGCTTTGTCTGCTACCCAATCATCAGCCATTCAGAAGGTAAGAATACAGAGTGAAACATTCCTGGGTTCTTGGCTATACTTTTGAAGGTGGTTTTTGCATTATATATAGAGGATATTACATGGGCGCAAAGAAAATTCTCTTTTCAACACGAGAAGATAAAAATTTGTATCTCCAAATGACCATGTAATATTCTGTTTATCATATGATTACATATGAAAGCAAATTATATTTTTCTTTCATTATATAGAGAAACCTTGAATGTATTTTTTCACTTTCAAAATGGAGAAATATTATATAGGTATTTCATAGATATAATAAATATATTTCTTTACAGGAACTTTTTATGAAGGGTGTTTATATTCACATTGTCAAAGCTATGGAGAAGCATTCACAAATACCTGGAGTACAGCAGTATGGCTGTCAGGCCCTGAGAATCCTTTCACTGTCGTCTTTGGAGAACATGATGGAGATCATYGGCAGTGAGGCTTGGGAAGTTGTTACAAGATGTATTCAAAGGTAGGTGTTGCTTGAAAAATTGGAAATCATTTTGGAACTGTATAGACCCCTCTCTCAGCCATGATGAGGCTCATTCCCAGGTCAACCTTCCCCCCCTCCCCCCTCTCTCCTCCCCCTCATAACAGAAGGGGAAAGACCTGCAAACAAGTCTAATAATKGCTGTRAGAGGAGACTAGGAAATGTAGAAAATGCAACAATTTCTTGGTGTTTTTCAGTATTAGGTGAAGTGAAATGCTTCTCCATGTTTGTCTAGTTAAAGTTATGAGTTTATTAGCATGTACGCAAAAGAAAATACAAAACAATTTTTCATACTAAGTAATACTAACACTTATGTTCCTGTTTTCTTTCCTAGTTTCAAAGATGAACCAGAGGTTCTCCAAGAAGCAATTGCAATCATTGCATGTTTTGCAGCAGACCTTGAAGCCATACGCAATCAATGTGCAATTGAGAAGCTGTATCTTCCTGYACTTCAGGCAATGCAAACATACAAAGACAATGCTACTTTAATAGAAATGGCTTTTGAATTTATTGGTGAGAATGTAAAAAATTATGTAAAAATTATGTAACACAAAGATATATTGTCCGCAGGTGGCCTGGTTAATGTAGTCCAGAACTGGACCCTTTTTTATCCTTGCGCATGTGGAATTGAATCAATGTACTAAACGCGTTTTTTTACTTTTACATATAATAACATAGTTATTGTGAAAATAGGGTCCACTTCTGGACAATGATTAATGATGTAGGCTGATGTCTTGAATGTAGTCATTTGTTCACATTTTTACATGATATTTGCTGTTATCATTTAAGGTGTTTTATCTGCCTGTGAAGCAATGCCTGAACTTTTTATGAGTGAGGGTGCAGTTACGATTTTCTTAAATGCCATGAATCACCACGCAGACCATCTAAATATTCAGCAAAAGGGATGCATTCTTGTGCAAGTTTTTTCAAGGTACGGTAACTTGGCAAGTATTTGGTTAAATTATACTTCAGAAATGCTCTAATAGACATTTCGCCTGTCATTATGTGTGAAATATATAAATAAATGAATTTCTTATGACCTTGTTCTTTTCGATGTTTACATTAGAATTCAGATACATGTAATTTCATGCATGACACACCCTAGACCACCATCGTCTTTGTTTTGACGAGAAATTTGCGCCTGCGATATTTTTTGAAAGCGCCAGTGGATCCCGGAAATCGTCGATGATCATGTTATCGATGTTATATTTTGACCACATTAACTTATTTATATACTATTCTATGCCTTTCTTAGAGCTGACTTTTTATTCTCTTCATTTAGACATTATTTCGTTGTTTTTCAGTTACTTGACAACTGATACATGTATCAAAGCAGTGTCGGCTGTTATCCTAGCCATGCAGAAATTCCAGTTTGTAGAGTGTATACAAGAAGAGGCCTGTGTAGCGCTTAAACTTATTGCTCAGGTATCCCTGAACTTCAGCGAGATTGAAGTCAATCAGTGCGCTCACGAGAGGCTGTTTGTGATCCTGGATGAATTCAGGACTAGACGTAGATTGATTCAGCTAGCTAGTGAAGTTCTTTGGTTCCTTGGGTGTTCTCGGATGCTGAATTCACGTATGCTGCTATCTGCTTGTGCAGATGGTCTGGTTCGTGGTGCTCATTGTTTGATACAGTTAGAGGCTGATGTAAACGTAGGAGAGAATTATAACACTCCATTGTGTGCTGCCTGTAAGAACAATAAAGAGGAAATGGTTCGATTCCTGCTGACACAAGGCATAAAGGACGTCCATACTGCTCTTGGCTTATGCCTGGAAATGGAACACCACAATCTTGTTGGACTTCTTCTGCAGAAGATGGGCCATGACCGCGAATCYGGTATTATCTCATGGAGTGGTCTTAACCTGGGTAGYATACGACCAGAGTGGCTGGCACCGTCGCTGTCAGGAAAGGCGTTTGGTCTGGCTATAGAAACTGAACGTTAYTGTAATTACATCCAGTGTGCCGAAAAGGCCTTCAAACAACGCTTTAAAGTCTTGCAAAAGTTTACTGATTTGGCATCAGTTGGTGGCAACGTGAACCCAGATGACATTCATAAGTTTATWGCAGAGACGATTTCTGATGGAGAAGAAGACGATGAATTTTCCTTTCCAACAAGCGACGATGGGAGTATCACAGATGAACAMATTTTAACCGATAAGGTTCCTCTTCGAGCGCGCAGCTTAACTGGTGCCTCTTTACCATACAGCTCGTACGATCCGAGGGTGGTACTTCCGCTCACCGTCGGTGACCCAATCTTGCTCCCTAAAAGATCCCAACCTAATKCAAATAATATTTCTGTCTTACCAATGGATCTTAAGCAACGAAGAACCAAGAGTTGGCTTGATACTCCTGATACAGARTGCGATGACACGTTCTCTGAGAGCTTTAATTCACAAGATWCMARAACATCAACCYCTGTTGGTAAGCAGAGAAGTAAATCAGATGTCGATCARCCAAGTTATGAGTTTCCTCGAATGGCGTTCATGTTTGACAACGCTCCTTATCGAAGAAGACGCGTATCTGAAGTGAGTGACGAGTCTGTTGATGGAAGAAAGAATTCTGTTGGTAGAAGAGGACGTAGRAAGACGACCATCATGCCTCGAGGRCAAACAGACGCAACTGTGTGCGTTATTGACATCTCCAARAATAGTATCAGTGATTTGAGTCTTTTAGCTGAAGCTGGTGACAGCGTTTTGGGATACCTYTTCAACGTAGTTAAACTCGATTTAAGTTATAATCAACTGTCAGATTTACCTTGTGAGCTGTGTGAAAACATGCCAAACTTAAAACAAGTATCGTTGAGTAATAACAACTTTAAAGTCTTTCCTTTYYACCTGATCGAGGCACCAAGATTAAGAGTCCTCGATATCTCATCAAACTGTCTTGAGCTACAGGAAAATCCCCCTGACGATGCCTCGCGGTCTATTCTGCTAGAGCACTTGTCTTTGGCAAATAATCACCTGARGACTTTCCCAAAATGGCTTGCTTCGTTCTTTCCAGGCTTAACATCCCTGTCTGTATCTGAGAATGAACTTCAGGAATTTCCTGAAACGGGCGAGAAGATGCAGTTTCTAAAAACACTGGATGTTTCCAAGAATGCAATTACCAGTATTCCTGTTTCGTTCCTGGATCAGTTTAAATCTCTAGAGACTCTGAACGCGTCYTATAATGGGCTTTCAAATCTTCCTGAATCRCAGACTGACTGCGATTCCAACCTGACAACGCTACGTCTTGCACATAACAAACTCACGGAGGAAAAGCCTTTCTTCATCCCAAAGTTTATTCTAAGATTACCGAAACTAAAAGTGCTGGATATATCATACAATCAGCTGACATGTTTACCACCGCTAGAAATATGGAAGACGAATCAACTTAACCAGCTCGATGTCTCTCACAACAACATTCAACGAATCAATTTYGATACAGTCAAYCCTACRAAGTGGAGCAGTCTAGAGCGATTGAACCTGCGCGGTAACAACCTGAARGACGTCCCAAAAGGCATTGGCTTGATGACGTCATTAACATCACTSGATCTCAGCGACAATCCTGGAATTACGTCACTACCGGATGAAATGGGAAGGTTGTCTAATCTTTGGGATTTGCCGCTGGCTGGACTGAAGTTGGACTTAGAGGAATCGTTAGTGACCAATACCAAGAAACTGGTAGCGTTTTTTAACTCGAAGTTATTGAACTCTGTACCGTATTATCGTATGAAACTCGTGACGGTAGGACTGGAGAAACGAGGAAAAACTACTCTTTTGAATCAACTACTCAGGTCCAAGTCTAGCCAATCAGCAAACGAGTTGGATATACGTGACTGGACATTGCGTGACGGTAAGGCCACRTGCAAGCAGTGCCATCACAAGTCCGTTATTTAYACCATTAACACGTGGGATTTAAAGGGTCGTGAAGACATGTACCAGGCCTTCCAGTGCTTCATGACGTCACGCACCCTTTATTTAGCTGTCTATGACGTCACTAATGGAGGACAAGAATTGGACGCATTGCGACCCTGGCTTCAGACCATTCACGCCTGCGCACCAAATGTACCCGTCATGTTGGTTGGGACCCATTGGGATAAAGTCCCTTCTGATAAAATGAATGAGGTATGTGCTTGGTCCGTGTAAGGCTATATACCCTTTATATTAGGCTGGGACCCATTGGGATCACGTTCCTTCTGACAGTAAAATAAGTCCACCTATGTCGCAAATATTGATATAATTATCGGCATTTGATAAAAATATTTTGTTAGGTAAAGAACGAAATGAAGGACCGTGCAAGAATGTTATTTTCAAGCCCAGGTCTCCCCGACATTAAAGCCCACGTGGTACTCAATTGTACTCAGGAGACAGCTGGTATCCAGGCCCTCAGGACGAGCATTGTTGACTTGGTCGTCAAGTGTAAGTGTGTAGGCCATTCTATCCTTGGTTCTCGTGTGCCTCAAAAGTTTGTCCATATTCAAGAATTGATCGAAAAAGTCAAAATGGATGATAATAGAAAAGGGCGTTGGCTGACAAAATTAGAACTCAAAAGACTACTACAGGACAACGATGTTTTGATGACMGATTCAGAACTGGGACAAGCTGTCAAGTTTCTGCACGAGGCGGGTAAGTTTTTCAAATACTTAGGCGACCTACACGAAGTGGTCTCGTCTGAATCGATCTTTCTCAAGAGAATTACAGAAGTTAGATTAAAACGAAGTTCACCAAACGCTGGAAAAGAATCAAAGCTATTGCTAATAAGATGAAACATTATTCTTGAAGTGAGTGCATGGTGGGRCATACCTTTACTATTGWAGTGGCTATACGTGACCCAAAATGGACTCGAAGTTTTCTYTTTGTTTTTATTGCTTTTCTAGTTGGTGCTTATTATAGTGATTGAATTCAAAGTACTGTACAGTCAYGTGACCAGGGTTACAGTATGTTTATATTCGTTTATATCGTAGGWGTRTTGYTGCACTATGACGATCCAGTTGCTCACCTGAACGACTTGTTCTTYACCGATCCTGTTTGGCTGAATAACCTGGTTTCAAGCGTTGTGGTTGCGAATAAACACAGTAAACATAATGCGCTGGTAKCTAACGGGATTGTCTCTAGGAATGGTTTGATTGAATTAATCGATGAAGATATKATTGCTATTGTGGAAAGCTTTTTGCCGCAGTTCTTAAGGTATGGTGAACTATAATGAAATACAGTGGAACCTCTATTAAGCGACCCCCTATTTAACGGCCACCCTCCATTAAGCGGTCACCGAACAGTTTCCCGAAACTCTGCTGTTATATATATCTTCTGTAAACCTTGACATCTATTARACGGTCAACCTCTATTGTATGGTCACTTGGTTTTTCCCCGGACTGACCGCTTAATAAAGGTTTAACTGTATTGCAAAAATAACATGACAAATTCTTTCTCCTTTCTTACATTATAAATTACTTGTAATGATTTGCGAAATTTCTCAAAGCGGTTGCAATTATTTTGAATCTTTTGCAACAACGTTTTGCAAACATCTACAACTTATGTCTATTTAYCTCATCTCAGACTTCTAGAACGTTTTGGCGTTGCAGTACCCATTACAGAGTCCGAGTTACTCATTCCATCGCGAGTACAGACTCTTCCRCCGTCCAATCTAACTCTTCCAGACTTGGCGTCAAATAGCCTCTACAGAAGGTTTTATGATTTGGCGTTTGTACCGTTAGGATTTTGGTCSCGTCTCATCACTCGTCTACTGCTATTTCTCCCGATGATGGATGTGGACAAGAACGACATTCGTTATGTAAGGGTCTAGTCGTGCGATTGTACAAAGTGYGGATAAAGCTATCCACTGCATACTTGTGTAGATTTTGTGAATACGTTTGCATAATGACGACCTTTTTATCGCTGACCAGAATGTTTTGTGCATGAGTTTCAAGTGATTATCACTGCGATCAATACCAATGTTTTGGACATCGTCGGGAAAATCAAGAAAGCCTACAGTTCATTACTAGAGGGAGCGGTCTTATGTGCCACAAGRTGCACAGTCAAAAGGCTCTTTCAGACTGAATACTTTATTTGTCATATCAGCGTTATATCCACATGCGAATTTGCGCCATGTAAGTAATTAATTATTATTATTATATATTCTATTTCTATTTGGTTTCTGCAGCCTTCGTCTTTAGAGTACTGGAAAACTGGTATTCAAGTGATCTGGTCCTCTGAGTCCTTCTTCACAGTCTTCCAAGATACCTCGGGTCAGTTTGGGGTCAACCTCCTTGCAATTGCAGTCCCTACAAACGATCAAGGSTCGTTCTTACTTGGTAACCTGGTCGATCATGTGGACGCGCTGATTGAGGAATGGTACCCTACCCTATGTAAGTAACTGTACTGACAATGGGAGAAACGCACTGCGCATGATCAAAAAAACTCCTTGTGAAAAGAATCGACTTACTTTAGTGCCACAACTGTGATTGCCAGTAATACAGATATGTAGTCCCTCCACTAACTACAACATACGGTACCATTTCAGGTGATCTARATCCAGTACAAGGCCAACCTTTAGTCACTCGACTATGTCCATGTATCACGTGTGAGGGTGAGACTTGTCATGTGTTYACCTTAGAAGAATGCATTGAACAGGCTTTACGTTATGAAGAGATAGTCTGTCCCAGGACATCGCAATTTCTACCTGTTGTGAAAGTTGCTCCAGATGTTGAACTTGCTGATTTAAAACTGCAGAATTTGTTGATTAAAGAAGAGGAGTTGGCGCTGCAGCAGAAAAAAGAATGCGTGMTTGGTGATGGTAGTTTTGGTACTGTGTACAAAGCCAAGTGTAACGATCGTGTGGTTGCCGTTAAGGTAATCATTCGCACACATATACACCTGTCCTTCGAGTAGTACTTCCTCCCCTCCCCCACTCCCCTTATGTCCACCTGTACGCAGGCTCCCTCCCTTCCCCCACTCCCCTTAGATCCACCTATACGCAGGCTATCCATACAGTAGTTTTTCCATTGCGTTACCTTTTTTTAACTCCTATGACAAAGGAGCAACGAGGATTACGTAGCGTTACGTAACGTCACGTAACGCGATGTAGCGTAACGTAATAGTGCTTTTTTGTAGGTTTTCCGCACTGAAGGTCACATTGATCCACATAGACTATTACGTCAGGAGGTTCCATTTCTAGCTCATCTACGTCATCCTAGCATCATTACGTTGCATGGTGTATGTGTTCGACCTCGTGCGTTGATCCTTGAAATAGCTCCTTTGGGATCGTTGAGTTCTTTGTTGAATAAAGGCGAGGTTCTAAGCCGTGGATTGCAACACCGTATTGCTCTTCAGGTGGGTGAACCAATTGATGATAATAATAATAATAATATAATAATGATGATGATGATGATGGTTATAATGATGATGATGATGATGATGGTAATGATGATGATGATAGTGATGATGATAAAGATGATGATGATGATGGTAATGATGATGATGATGATAGTGATGATGATGATGATAAAGATGATGATGATGATGATACTAAGTTTCCTTACTATTATCAATTGATGGTCTATTAACTCCTGATTTGCGTTGCAGGTTGCAGAAGGCTTGTCTTATCTTCATCGTAATAAAATCGTTTATCGTGACATGAAGCCACACAATATCCTGATGTTTTCGTTAGCTTTATCAATCGTYATCAACGCAAAGATCTCTGATTTCGGCATTGCACGTTACACTGCCTTATATGGCTTAAAGTCATCGGAGGGGACCCCAGGCTACCGCGCACCCGAGGTTGTCCGCGGTGACAGCGCTTATAACAAGGAGGCTGATATCTACTCGTTTGGAATGCTCCTGTACGAACTTGTGACAGGGGGAAAAAGACCATTTGAAGACGTCCGCTTTAGAAACGAGCTTGATGCTGCTGTTATGCAGGGTAAAATGATCGATCCTATCACAGATAGTGGTAGTTCACCATGGCCAGATATCGAAGACTTAATCGAACACCTTCTACAACCACGTGCAGACATGAGACCAACTGCTGACCAGGTAATCGCATGTTCGTATTTATTGATATGCAAGAATTTAACAGCGTCCAAGTCATGTATTTAACCTTTTTTCCATAAGATTTCAAAAAAAAGGTTGAACTAAGATATTTCGGCTTACACAGGTCGTCGAGCGACTATCAAGCCCAGAGCTACTTTGTCTAAAGCGAACAATTGCTGTATCAAAGGGAAAGGCTGTGGAATCTATTGCAGTTAGAAGTAATGATGGMAATGTGGAGTTGTGGATGGGYAGTGGRGTGACTGGCCACTACGGTTGTCAAGTATCGTGGTTGAGCTTGACTCAGTCGACAAACGAGGTTCGTGCTTACTAAAACGGTCACATTTATATTCATGACACGTGACTATAATGGACGCAATGGACTCCCTTATATTAACCCCTGCCCTATACGCCCAGCTATGTATATCGATTACGTATRCTCGTGTTTATGTCCGTSTAGCCTTCAGTGTTTTAAAGTCTGTTTTCTCTTGTAGGGTTGCCAAGGTACGTTCATGAAGGACAAACGAGTGACGTCATTAGCCGCTGTCCACAATGACTTCATTTTAGTTGGTACCCAGTCTGGTACGATATGGGTGTTTGATGCTGTGTCCCGTACATGTAAACACTCGTTAAAAGTTCTACCAGACTCAGTGGTGTCACTGCGACACTACTATAACTCAAAAACCTACGATGATCTAGTCATTGCAGGTCTTGCTAACGGTTCATTGGTTATCTATAAAACAAAACACATCAAAAATGCTAATGCAGAAGGCGAAATTATGCATTTATGCAAAACAATAAACGATGGAGGATCRTGCCGYGAGAATTGCAATGTGCATGCAGTAGCATGCTTAACTGTTGCAAAACGGTGCTTGTATTGCGGTTGTGGAAACGATATATTGATATTGACATTGGGGCAAGGTTCTGTTGAATTCAAGCGCCGCTGGTCAGTGGAGGACAGGCGCAGCCAGTGCGTCCTCAACATCTCCGTGAGTTCCTTTATCTGGACATCAACAAAGGACTCGCCTTACATTGACTTCTGGGATATATCAGAACCAGTCTTACGYGGTACAATCAATTGCGCGACGATAATAAGCACAAGTGCCAACATTCCAAGAAAATCACGTGACATGCGTATTYTGTGCATGTTAATTGAGCAGAACACTATATGGGTTGGTCTGGGTACTGGACACGTCATCGCGCTGTCGACCAAGTCACGTGAACCCCTGTATGTGCTCAAGAGACATACAGGTCCCGTTCGCTGTTTGGCTATTGCTCGTCGTAGTTCTAGACATGGGAAGCCTGTGTCATTGCTTATGAYTGGGGGAAARGGATTCATTGATAGACCGGGWTTTAAAAGCAACGACCAAGACTTTGGTTACGTGTTAGTTTGGGAAGCCGACCTGGCTGAACAGAAGAAACGTTTRCTTGACGACAAGACCAAGAGACAACAAATGCAATGTACTGAATTGATAGAAAATGCCTCATCACTAGATTATACCAGTCGCTCTATTGTAAAAAACGTCTAAAATATATACCAACACTATTCCTTACGATAAGGGTTATTCTTGATMACTGAAAGCCCTGGCCGCGAAATCTTTTTAAACCGTAATATAATAATGATTTGAGTTGTATCATGTTCTTATAGATTGTATAAMATTTATAGATTAAACAATTAGTTTATTATATTGCGTGTTGTATGGCCCTCTCGACTTTCTCCTTTAGTTTACGTGTAAACCTTTGCATAGTTGTATCAGTTACTAAATCACCACAAACTTTACCAATRCCAAACGCCGACGAACACGTTCTGTAGTGAAATARCAATCCTTGACTCGGGTTCACTTTATTTAACATTAGTTTTTGATCGGTTGCTTTACTCACGTGATGTATTCCCATCTCAAACACTCGCCGGGGATCCACAATGCACTTGGACCAGGACGGCAGTGTTTCTCGAGTTCTGCGATCCACACGTATTGTTCTGAGCTTTGACTTCCGAGCGCCAGGAAAGCGAGCGTTTAGACTGAAAATAACGCTATCAAAGCAGTGCCCAGAATGCTCTGATGTGTGAATTTTGCCTAGAAGGGAGGGGATGGTGCGGCGTTTTATCGGCACGAAAAACTCGTCGATGTCATTGAATGCTATGAAGTTTGATGTTGCTCTACCTCTGAACAAGCAATCTTGTATAGCAAGTACTTGACCATGATACCATAACTGATTGAAATGTGATGTCATGTGATCTGGTAAGTTCCACGTATTGATGCTAACTACCCCCTTTTGTTGATAATAGAACAACAACTTTTTAACTGTATTGTCGATTTGATAGTCGTAAAAAGTTACATGTTTGAAACCTAGTATCAAGCTCAGTTCAATAAACTCGGCGATTTGGTAAAGAAACTCTCTCCCTTGTCCTCTAAGTGGAGGAGTACAGATTGCGTATTCATACTTGTTATGAACTGGAGCGATCGAGACTAAAGGTACTCTTAGTTGCTTCTCCTYGTCATCTACAGATAAGCTTATAAAATAGCGTGAGGTGARGCATGATGGTAGCTGGCATGAGACTATGAAGCCGCCATATTGCCGACCATGGTTCTCGTTATTGGCGTAATACTCAGCTGATTGCGAAGGGCAATGACAAGTTAATTCATCATGGCAGTAATGGCAAATTATTTTCGGTTGATGATGTTTACCGCTCAATACGACCAAACGAACTTTCTTTGCTGATTCATCGATGAATGCAGAGTAGACATAAGTATCTTTTGTAATATTTTGGAAAGATCCTGTAGGTGCTTGTTCGTCATTCGAGTGACTCCATTTTGTATCGCTGCCACCAAGCAAACGCGTCAGACTTCCTTCAAGCTTTGAAGCGCTGAGCTTCCAATGAAAAATTATAAGTGTTGCAAAAAGTCCAAAAAGGACGCCTAGGATAACTTTAGGTCTCAAACGCATGATAAATACATCGAAATATTCCTGAACTTCTTGCTTCGACTGTCCAAAACAGCAAGGCGTTGTTAACGTTTGGACGAGACGATCTGGGCACTAGTTGTGCATATTTATGCCGAAATCTGAAAAATTATGCAAAATGAAGACTYCCAGTAGTCTAACCAGCTATTATCAAGAATTGAGCGAGGTATGCATACAACTATGAATAGTTTCAAGAGCTTGCGTTGAACTTTATGAAAATTATATTTAAGTAAAAGAGAAACTCGAAGTTTACGGAAAATCTGTTTTTTTTTGTASATTTGAAAACTACTAGACCGCTCATTTTGTAGCTCGAAGAATTTTGAGCAGGAGTCGATCGTCGTCACGGTAAGTGTGACAAGAAACCAAAGGTGCCCGAAATAGAACATTATAATATGAATTGAAATCTTTTAAGATTGCCATAACGCAGCTATAATAGTCTTTTCTTACTTTGATACTGTTTGGGGTTTTTTTTCTACACATTTGAAAACTACCGCGTCTCAATTAGTACATTGAAAACTTTGAGCGTGAGCCGATCACCACGCTATAAAGTGTGACAATCATAAAACGTTTATTTTTCAAAGTGTACAGCAATTTGTTTATCCCGAAAAAAGTTATGCAACATCAAGACTCACAGTCTAACCAGCAGGTTTCTTTTATTTATTTTTATAGTTGGCGATTTTATTTCAAAACGTTTTGAAAATGTAAAACAATTTAGTTTATGGAGCTACAAGGCGTACAACCCTGTCAACKTTCTCTTCAAGCGTACGTGTAAATCTTTGCATGGTTGTATCAGTTACTAAATCATTACACAATTTCCCGATACTAAGATCTTTCGAACATTTCCTGTAGTGAAATAGCAATCCTTGACTCTGATGTACTTTATCTACCTTGAATTGTTCATCGGTTAATTTACTCACGTGATGTATTCCCATCTCAAAAACTCGCCGAGGATCCACAATGCACTTGGTCCGAGGCTCCACTATTTGTCTTGTTCTGCGTTCTACAAGTAYTGTTCTTAACCCTGACTTCCACGCGTTAGGAAAGCTAGTGTTTAGACCGAAAATAACGCTATCAAAGCAGTGCCCAGAATGTTTTGAGGTGTGAATTTTGCGTAGAAGTGAGGKGATGGTGCGGCGTTTTAACGGCACAAAAAACTCGTCGATGTCATTGAATGCTATGAACTTTGATGTTGCTCTACCTCTGAACAA